CCAAGCAGAGAGAGTTTATAGATTAAACCACATTCTTTTCCTTCTTGACTGTTAGAATTTTGTAATTTTTCCCTACATAATAGACATAGAAAAACTAGACTGTCCAAAGGACAATTCAAAACCCAAACTAACTTTTAAAGACATCATCTTCAATATATCAGACTATATCTTGAATATCAGACTTTTCCATAACAAATGTGAGAGAATGCACTGGCCAGAAAAGCACTACAAAATCACCACTTTGTATCCCTTAAAGATTTACATGCATTCCACACTGAATCTCAGTATCTCACTGAGAAGAGTGGCTGAACTGCCAAAAGTAGAAAACAAAAATGTGATGATGCCCATATGTCCATGTCCTCATCAAAATGCATGTTTCAAGCTAAGAGCAAAGAGCGTGTTAGCAACTGAGCTTGTCATTGTCTCTTGAACAAAGTAAGCTATCCCATCAAAAAGAAGTTTTCTTGCTCTAACTGCATATGAACTTTGACCAGAACAATAGCTGGTACCTTTCCCCCCATTTTTTAAAGGGCTGCAGAAAGATCTGACATATTAGCCACAGTGCAACAATGCACACAGGAGAAATGAAATGGGGAAGGAGGGCAAGTTCTAGCTAAACCCATGGTCTGTGCTTGTTCAGATAATGCCTCTTACGGTTCTTTGCCAGTGCTTGGAAGAAAATGTGCTTGCAGTCACTCCTTTAGAAGGTTCTAATCTTTCTGATCAAGCAACTTCAAGGTAAGTGTTTGCTGTCAGAGCATCCTCTCCAAAAACTGTGCCTCCCTCCCCTCAGCTAGACTAGAAACTTCAAATAACTGCAACATAGAAACCAATAAAGGAGAAAAACTTGTGCATCTTTTCAGTATGTGTTACACCCTGATGCAGTAAACTGTGTCTCAGGTTTCCAGAACAGTTTCACAGATTAGTAGTGTCAGTTCCTTCTTCCCCCAACCAGAAGAGGATAAAATTCTGTTTTCCTTATTGAAAATGACTAAAGGAGGGAAAAAAATGTTACATGCCAAAGACTCTTAAAAGGAACACATGCTATTTAATACATTTATTACTGCACTCTGAAAGGAACACCTACAGATCTCCAGTAAGGACGGATCCTTGCAAACAAGCTGGAACAGGGACACAAGCACAGAGAAATGGCTCCAGTCTAATGGAGGCATTTTTACAGACTATTTTCCCTTGTGGAATTTTATTTCTTTCATACCTTTTGTTCCATTACAGTCCTTGAAGGGGAAGTTCTTAGAGGGTGTAAGATTGTTGTAGTGTCAGAAAACCTCACAGTGTGACCATGCTCTGTGCTGCCCACCCTGGCAACGTTCCCAGTCCACAACCATGGATGAGAATACGTGGAAGCTGTAGTGAGTGTGCAGTGTTCCAAGCTGGGAGAACAGCCCAGCAACTGCAGAAGGCCTTTGCTCTGAGGCTCACTCGGTTGCTGCCCACCCTCCCCTTTTCTTCCCCAGAACAAAAAGCTCAGTCAAGAGTGCACGAGCACAAAGCAGGTGAGGAGATCAACACTCCCCAAGGCTCTGTTTTTCACCCCAGCAGTGACACACGCAGCAAGTTCCAGTACCTGGCTCCAGGATCTGCTGTGCCACACGACCAACGCAGAGGGTCAGGGAGAAGGTGAACCTGAGGTTTGGCTGCCTGATTCCATCCTGCACAGCATCCAAGAGATACAGCAACTGCAAGAGCCCAGGGAGAGAAGCCTGAAGCACAGCCCAAATGAACACAACAGGAGCACCAAGGAGCACCAAGGCATCAATCAGCTTCCTCATGGGCCATACAGGTAAGAGTCCTAATTCAGCAAACCTGAGGGTTTGGTGATGTCAGGATCAAAACACCCAGAAACCTGTGAAAAAGAAACCAAACTAAAGCCAGCTAAAAGTGGTCCCCTGACGATGACTCGTAAAACAACTTGTTCACAAGGAGGCAGGGATTGATTCAATACTCACCAGCCCACCCAACCAAGGTCAGAGCTCTCTGCCCACCGAGGACATGGCAACCATCAGGGACCTTTCTCCCACTGTCCAGCACAGACCTGTGGAGCCACAGAGAAGTTTACAGAGCAAAAATAGCCAGAAGCTGCTCTCTGCTTCCATACACGCTCTGATCGATCATTCCAAAGGAAAGCCACCATGGATCAGAAGCCATCACCTCTCATTTTTCCTCTGGAATCATCACTGCCTTGCCCTTCTTTGCAAGTGTTTCATTCTGTGCCCACCCATCCCCAGAGCACATTTAATCCATCTTTTCTTCCCAGCTGCAGCTCTCCAGCACAAATGCTACTTCTCACACACACAAAGCAAAGAGTCATCTGCTACAGGTTTTGGCTTAGAAAGAAAAAACCTTAGTGCATCTGGCTACATGATTAAAACACATAGATGCATGGGTGGTCTTGGATGGAAAGCTTTTCAGGAGAGAAAAGAGCTGTTTCAATAGCACACTTCTATACACCTTCAGAAAAACCAGAATTAACAGCAACTCCTAAGACGCCTGCTGAGGAACCCAGCCCTCCTGAAAACACCCAGTGCAGCAGACATGGGAAAAGAATGGAAAAAGCCAAGCCTGGAGTGAAAAAAAAGAGAACATAAATACGGCAGCCTGTAGAAAGCCTTCACACAGCAATGGTGGGAACCAGTCCCATTTACTCCATCCTTGCTTTTTGTGATGACATAAATATGAAATAAAAACACATGAAACACAAGGCAGAGCTAGGATGTACAAGGTGTTCCCATTGGCAGCGTGGATGACAAATGTTTCTTCATGCACTAAGGGCCAGCCCAATCTGAACCCATCCTTAACCCAAGCCTTCCTCGGCTCCCGTTTCCCAGCGCTCGGCTCAGGGCTTTGGCCCTCTCGCTCTTTCCTCTCGCAGCAGCACGGCACCAGAACACAGCGAGGCAAACCCTGCCGGAGCCGCCCATCCTGCGTACCTGTCAGCTCCCGGCCGTGTGCAGCCTTGGTCCTGCGGGCAGGGAGACGGCTCGGGCACCTCCAGCGGCTGTTCTGCCCCGATGTTTTTGTGTTTTCCTCCATTTCCCTGGACCAGAAGGGGCCGTGGGGGGCCGTTGTGTGAGAGTGGGGAGGGCAGAGAGCGGAGGGAGTGCGGGGAGGCGGCGGGGAGGCGGCGGGACGGGGACGACCCACCCCGCCCTCTCGGCGCGATTTCCCGCCGCCTTTCCGGGGACGAGGACGCGGGCGGCGCGCTCTGCGGCGCCGGGGCCAGGGGCGGGCAGCGGAGCGCGGGGAGGCGGAGGGACGGGACGGGCAGCTCGCCTGACCTTCCAAAGATGGCAGCAGAAAGGGCGGGGAAAGCCAGGACCCCGCTCCGCCTACTGCACCTATAAAAACTGGCATTCATCATTAGCACAGTTATAGTGCTAACATTCATAGTACGAAGTAATGCCAAAGCCAGATGACAACATAAGACATAAATCTGAAATTTGATATTAAAGTGACATCTTCCAATTGTAAACTGAAGTACAGTATTCCTGCTAATAAGGGATTATACAGACCTGCAGCTGCACAGAGTCTTCTATAGTGCACAAAGAAATTAGGTAAGTAGGAAGTACCAGATTTGGAATGCAGAAGTAGAGATTTGCATTTAAAACTTTAAAATTTTCAAACAAATACACACGATGTACCTGGCATCTAATGTATTCTTACCTTTACTGGCTAATAAGTCTTTTGTGTGGACAGGCTTCTTTACCTTCTCTACTTGGCAGCTGACAGATGCTGTATGAGGAAGCAAAGAAAACAAGAAAATCAAAATTAAATTAACAAGACCTGTCTTATGGCTTTTGAAAGGTACATCTCCAAATGCATGTAGTTCCACCATCAGTCATATTCTGGAGAGGCTAATAACAAATGCCACATATTAAACAGTCACAAAATTGTAAACCTAAGCCTGGGAACTGTATAAAGACAACATGAAGTTAGAAGCTCTGTGTTACACATTTCCCACGCTCTTCATTTTGTTCGAAAGCTGGAAGATTTTGGAATGCCACTTACAACATGAGCTGTATCAACTGACTTTCTGGTATTACCTCCCAAGCACTGCATCAGCTTAAGAGGTATGAATGAATGAGCCATGTGTGAAGGATTACCTGTATAATGCATCTCACTCATACACATGCAGACAGACCGCTGAAAGGTTAAAAAGGATGGTGTTCTGAAACTCTCGGGCTCCCCAGTCCTCCTTCCTTAACCCCTTCCTCAGAGTCTGGATGAGATCAAGCGATTGTGGTGTTGTGTTAATCGTGACCATTCATCCTCCAGAGGCAGCTGCTGGAGTGCAAGGACCAAGGCAGTAACCACAGTCTCCTACTGAACCACATTCAGCCTTTCAGCACGCACTTACACGCTGCAAATCCACTTTTGCTGGCTCAGGACTTGAATCAGGGGAAGGCACATAACCATCAGCATTCATTCAAAGGCGTAGTCCTTCTAGCTATGCTAATTATTAATTCAGCTGGTACTATTACTACTAGAGGTCTATAATTTTACAACAGAACAATTATAGAGCAATTTGCCACACTTGCTAAAAACATTAATATGTGGCAGAGAATATAAGTGAAAAAAATCCAGCAATGCACAGCTCTGCTCTAACACCTGATGTCAGGGCCAAAGTAAGTGACCAGGTCAAACTACAGCTCCCTCCTTTGATTTTCAGAGAGGGAATTTTGGGGGGCTTGCTGTGAGCTGGAGGGAAAGTCAGCCTAAATAACCAACTTCTCAAACTGATGGTGCAGGGATTGTCCTTCTCAGCCAATTCACAACTAAGTCCACAAGTTTTCACCCGTGGAGGTGAAAAACTGAAAAATGTGGAGCTGTCATTCATATGTTCCACTGCCCTCATCCCACTCACATGATATTGGACTCATACCTTCCATTTCTAGGATATGTTCTAAGGTATGTTTCTTTTTCCCTGGCTTCAAACCCTCACTTGGCCTCAGTACCAGCACATATATGTTTAGTCTCATTTACCCCATCTTTGTTTCTTGCTTCTTTTACAGCTCCTTCCACTGGAGGCTAAACTTCTTTTTTCTTATCTTATAATGTCCTTCCCATTGCCACTGATCACCTTCAGGATGCTTAGGGAGGCATGGGCAGTCCAAAAAAAAACATGCCACAGATGTAAACTAGTGCATGAGTTATTGCTACTATTCATATTTTAAATGGCAAAGGAGGTTGTAGTTATTGCTACATCATATTACTATTCATAAAGCTGCTAACATCAGTGGTTATTTTTCAGACCATTACTCAGGGTATTTCACTACCATTTTCTTGAACTTAATTTTACTGGTCTGCTTCTTTTTTTATTTCTCCCGAGTGCTGTGAGTGGCAAAATATAAGCAGCCTTTGTTTAATTCCCTGCTTACTCCTGAAGGCTTGAATTACTTCACTTACCAAAACTCCCACTTTTCTATCTCGTGGTCTATCATTACGCTAGCCAGTGATCCATACCTACAGTGAATTTCCTTTGATAGATATTTTTTTTACTTACAGCTGCTTTATTTCTTTAAGTGGGGAGTATTAAACCCATTCCAAAACGATGCACGCGATGATAAACAGAGACTTTTTTTCTTTTTAAATTTAGAGCAGTTTATATAAACTATTTGTACTCTTTAACAAGGTCCCCAAGCTCTCTAATGCGAGAGATGGAAGCTTGGTTGTACTAGCTGACTAGTAGAATTTAAAGGTTTATTTCAAAGTTAATTTATAAATAACTTTAGATTGTCAATATATATTAAAAACTTGACGGGTTTGGTATTTGGCAGAAAACACCTCATGGCAGCACAGAGCTCCGACTCCCCGCTCGGACACCGTCCAGCAAACCACTGCACGCGCACCCGCGGCCCGGGCCTGCCCCTCGCCCGCGAGGAGCCGCGGCGGCAGCGTGCGCGCAGAGCCGGCG